AAAAAAAAAGGAAAGAAAAGAATCAGATTTGTAGTTATCTCGTTCTCTCATCTCAGCATTAGATTACCAGTTTACAATCTAGGACATCTGTATACTTCCACTTTAAGTCTTTTCACACTTTCAGTCTTTTCACAGGAGCAGAGTTACAGATTACAGAACCCAAAACTTAATGTCACGAATTTTCATGAAAAGAAAAACAGCAAGAGAAAGCAAGCAAGTATTAGAACTCTTCCTCAGACAATGCCAGCAGGACTTACTGTTGTAATTTCTCAAGCTCCTCTGCTTCCTGCTCAGCAGTACTTTTGCATGTCACAGGCCTTGCTCGTAATTTTGTCTGCAGTATAGGAGTCTGAGGGTCTGTGGAGATCTTGGTCACAGATGACTTGGAGGGTAAGAGGCCTATAAAATGGAGATCACAAATAGGCAGAGATCCAATAGGCAGATGAGAAATGAATAAACAAGTCAGAGTACCTGGAGCTCTATGTTCAGCTCACTTGTATCAGACAAATGTTCTTTCCCTTCTTCTTGTCAGTCTTTGGTGAAGGGTAGGTAGCCTCTGGGTAAATTTTCCTGCCACCTTCTAAATTTAAAATCTAGTCATGTCTAATAGGTTCCTTAGTATTATTGCACGTCTATACTTTCTACTGATACCACCACCTATTTTACTTGTTACTGACAAGGTTTTTAATTCCAGTTTTAAAACATAAGACCTTCAAAAAAAAAGTAATAGATTTGAAATTTTTTAACTTCCTAGAAGCATCTATATCAAAGCATCAAGAAAGAATACTACTCACAGAAATTCAAACGATAAAAGTTAAACTATGTGAATGCACTAATATTAAGATCATCATTGCTACTCATCACTCATTTATCTAAACAGGGACAATCCTCTCAATTTTCCAAAATATTTCTAATGATTCCTTCAGTAGATCAGCCTATATAACAATGAAAGATAAAAACCAAATCTAGGCCCTTGTGACTCAGGCCTATAATCCTAACTACTCAAAAGTTTAAGATCTGACAACTATAGTTCAAAGCAAGCCAAGGCAGAAAAGTACTTGAAACTCTTATCTCCAATCAACTACCAAAAAGCTGGAAGTAAAGATGTGGCTCAAGAGGTAGTACACTAGCATTGAGCAAAAATTAAAATTAAAAAAGCTCAAGGGACTATTGCCCAAGTCCTGAGTTCAAAGCCCAAAATCAGAATCAAAACAAAAAAAAAAGTTTATTTTAGAAATAAGATGTTTCAAATATATATGTATTTTAAGGATACTTTCATGTTTGTCTTTCTTTTTTTGTGGGGGGTGGGACTGAGCCTCATGCAAGTAGTAGAGCCCTAGCCTTGAGCTGAAGAGCTCAGGGACAGCACCCAGGCCCAGAGTTCAAGCCCCAGGACCAACCAAAAAACAAACAAACAAACAAAAATAAAAAACAACTTCCATTTCTCAGACTTATCTTCTCTTATTCTTTAGAATTCTCTCACCTGTTCACCACCAAATCTGCAAAATCACCAGCATTTCCACCCATTCCCCTCAATTTTGCATCTTCCTTTCAAAGAATAATCGTTGCCATGCTATTTGAATGAAACTTACTAAAACCTTCCTGCTTGCTCCTCAAATGGTATCTGTTAGGGGTTCTTTTATGAAAGGCTTCAACCTGCTGTGCAAGGGGCACATATGCAGAAGTTGCTTCATCAAATGTTCTCTTCTTTCCTTGGGACAGATTGAAAGGCTTAATAACAGTACATCCCTTAGTCACTCCACCCTGTAAAGAGAAGTTATTCCCCACATTAGATGTTATAAAAGAGTATAAATCTACTACAAGCCACATATTCAGCACAGTGATCAAAGTAAAAAGAACCTTTATAACGTCCAAGATCCCTATGTTCCAAAGTTTGTCAATCCTTACACAAGGGTTAGAAGCAGTCTAACACTTAAACAGAGGGTGCATTCTGCAACGATACATAGCCAGTTTTTCTAAGAATGTCAATCTTTTAAACCAAACAATAGCAAACATTCTTAGAATTTAAAGAAAAAGAAAAAACTGCAATGGCAGAAAGGTATCCCACTCCTAATCCACTAAAAACAAAACAAAATGAACCAAAAACCCCAACAGCATGCTTATGGGTCATACCAGTTTAGGCAAATATCACCTAATTATAATCATTCATTTTAATAAAATTGGTCTTTGGGGGGCTGGGAAGATGGCTCAGTGGTAGAGCGCTTGCCTTGCATGCCTGAGGCCCTGGATTTGATTCCTCAGCACCACATAAGCAAAATGAAAAAAGCCAGAAGTGGAGCTGTGGCTCCAGTGGTAGAGCTCTAGCCTTGAGCTGAAGAGTTGAGGGACAATGCTCAGGCCCAGAGTTCAGGCCCCACAACCGGACCCCCAAAAAAAAAAATTGGTCTTTGATTGGAAGCAAAACTTCAAAAACTACTCCAAAAGCAGCACCAACAACTTCAGGGTTTACAACTACAGAATTTGAGTTCAAGGACAATTTGAGCTACACAGTGAGGCCCCCACTCACTGGTCCCAACACCCAGAGTTCCACTTGTGAAATCATGCCATACATTACTATTTGAAACCTGCTTCTTCATAGTAGCAAATACCGCCCAGTTTTCTGCAAACAACATAATTTTGTCCTTTCATTCTTTTATATGGCCAAATAATACTCTATTGGATATGGGTAGCACTTTGTTTTTGTTGGTCATGGGACTAGAGCTTGGGCCCTGGGCACTGTCTCTGAGCTCTTTTTCCTCTACAACTTTGAGCCACAGTGTCACTCCTGGTTTTCTTGTGGTTAAGTAGACATCAGAGTCTCACGGACTTTCCTGCCCAGGCTGGCTTTGAACCATGATCCTCAGATCTCAGTCACCTGAGAGCTAGAATTACAGGTATGAACCACAAGTACCCAACATGTAGTACATTTTTTTAAATCAATAATCAGCTGTTAGGCACCTAGGCTGGTTCCACATCTTGGCTACTGTAAATATTGCTGCTATAAATATGGGTGTGCAGGTTATGTGATTTATATTCCTTTGTATGTATGCCCAAGAGTGGTACAGCTGGATCATATGGTAGTTCTATTATTATTTCTTGAGGAATATTCATATTGATTTCCATAGTGACTGGACTAACATCACATTCCCAATGACCGTGAATCAGGGTTTCTTTTTCCCCACATCCTTGTCAGCACTTCTTTTTTTTTTTTTTTTTGGGTCCGGTCATGGGGCCTGAACTCTGGGCCTGGGTGCTGTCCCTCAGCTCTTCAGCTCAAGGCTAGCGCTCTACCACTTGAGCCACAGCGCCACTTCCGGCTTTTTTCTTTTTTGCTTATGTGGTGTTGAGGAATCGAACCCAGAGCCTCAGGCATGCAAGGCAAGCGCTCTACCACTGAGCCACCTTCCCAGCCTCAGCACTTGTTTTTCTTAATGATGGCCATTCTGCAGTGGATGAAATGGAATCTCAGTGTCATTTTTATTTATATTTCCTTTATATCTAAGGATATTGAACACCTCTTCATGTATTTATTAGCCATTTGTATCCTTTTTTACTTTTTGGCTATACTCAGGATTTGAATGCAGGTCTGGAACTCAGGGCCTTGTGCTTGCTAAGCTGATATGACACTGCTGAGCAATGCCTCCATCCCTATTTTTCTCTATTTTTAAGATAGGGTCTCACTTTCCAGCAAGGTATATGCCTGACCACCATCTACCTATTATTGGCTTCTCTATAATTCTGTACACTGGAATTACAAAAGCATGCACTACTACATCTAGCCTTCCTCCTATGGAGATTTTATGATTGGCCTAGCACCCTGACCCTCCCAATGTCAGCCTCCATGTAGCTTGGGATGATAGATGCACAGTGATATGCCCAGCAATGAATGGGTTGAAGAGTCTGTGAACTTTTCTGCCAGTGCTAAACAGAAATACTCTATTCTCAACCTCCTAAGTAGCTAGATTACAGGCATGGGCCACTAGTGCCCAACTCTGTGCCTCTTCTTTTGAAAACTGCCTATTTAACTCACTACCCATTTATTCAATATTTTAAGCTCTTTATATATTCCGGATATGGAGTTTGTCCACTGAATAGCCAGGAAAGATTTTTCTCACATTCTGTGGGTTGTTGTCTTTTGATTCTGGTAACTGTTTTCCTTTGATGTACAATAACTTCTAATTTTAATGCATCTCACCCATCAATTCTTGCTCTTATGTTCTAAGCTATTAAAGTCCTATCTGGAAGTTGTTGCTTTTGTCTATTTCTCCTAATGTTTTCCCTATGCTTTCATGTAGTAGTTTCAGTGTTTGGGGTTTCACATTAAGGTCGTTCATCTATTTTGAGTTATTTAAGTACAGGATAAGACACAGATTCAGTTCCAGTTTTCTGCATTTGGATATCCAGTTTCCCCTAACACAATTTGTTAAAAAAAAAAAATCTGACTTTTGGCTGGGTACTAGTGGCCCAAGCCTGTAATCCTAACTACTTAGAAGACTGAGATCTGAGGATCAAGGAAGGAAAGTCAGTTACTCTTATTTCCAATTAACCATCACAAAAGCCACAAGTGGAGCTGTAGCTCAAGTGGTAGAACACTAGCCTTAAGAGCTCAGGGACACGCCGGGCGCTGGTGGCTCACGCCTGTAATCCTAGCTACTCAGGAGGCTGAGATCTAAGGATCACGGTTCAAAGCCAGCCCAGGCAAGAGAGACCGTGAGACTCCTATCTCCAATAAACCACCAGAAAACCGGAAGTGGCGCTGTAGCTCAAGTGGTAGAGCACTTGCCTTGAACTGAAGAGCTAAGGGACAGCGCCCAAGCCCAGAGTTCAAGCCCCACGACCGACCCCCCCCCAAAAAAAAAAGAGCTCAGGGACAGTGTCCAGGCCCTGAGTTCAAACTCCAGGACCAGCACACATATTAAAAAAAAATGTATGTCTAGCATATATTTTTTGTTTTGTAAAAAATCAGATGTGTGTAGTTCTGTGGGTTTATTTCTTTTTTTTTAATTTAATTTTATTTTATTTGTGAACATACTGTACAGAGGGGTTACAATTACATGGGCAGGATAATGCGTACATTTCTTACCAAGCATTGCATCCTCCTCCTTTGTTTACCCTTCACATCCCTTCCCAGCCTCCCCCCTGTGGGTTTATTTCTAAACCTATTCTTTTTTTTTTCTAAACTTCCTATTCTATTCCATTAATCAATATATTTTTTTGTTTCAGTACCATGCTGTTTTTGATACTATGGCTCTCCAGTATAATTTCATGTCAGATACTGTGATTCTTCCAATATTGTTCTTTTTGCCCAGGATTACTTTGGCTATTTCAGATCTTTTATGCTTCCATATAATTTTTTTGGGGGGATGGGGGGCCCAGTCGTGGGGCCTGAACTCTGGGCCTGGGTGCTGTCCCTCAGCTCTTCAGCTCAAGGCTAGCACTCTACCACTTGAGCCACAGCACCACTTCCAGCTTTTTTCTTTTTGCTTATGTGGTGCTGAGGAATCAAACCCAGTACATCAGGCATGCAAGGCAAGTGCTCTACTACTGAGCCACCTTCTCAGCCCTTGTTCCTAACTTTAGAGGAAATGGTTTCAGGTTTTCTTGTCAAGAACTCTTTAATAGCAGAGGTATCTGTATCTATAATTTGTCAACATAATCTTATGTGTGTTGTATTTTTAAGTTTTTTCTTTTTTTTTTTTTTTTGTCGGTTGTGGGGTCTGAACTCTGGGCCTGGGTGCTATCCCTCAGCTCTTCAGCTCAAGGCTAGTGCTCTACCACTTGAGCCACAGCGTCACTTCCGGCTTTATTGTTTTTGCTTATGTGGTGCAGAGGAATCGAACCCAGGGCCTTAGGCATGCAAGGCAAGTGCTTTACCACTAAGCCACCTTCACAGCCCCAAGTTTTTTCTTTTTTGGTGGTAGCACTGGGGTTTGAACTTCGAGCCCTGAGTTTGCAAAGCAGGTACTCTACCACTTTAGCCATTCCTAGCCCTTTCACTAGTGTGTTTATTTTTCAAAGACTTGCGTTTCTCCCAGGCTTGCCTTAGACGACAATCCTACCTAAAGCTCCCATGTAACCAGTATAACAAGTATCCACATCATGCCCAGTTTACTTGTTGAGATAAGATCTTATTAGCTGGATGCTGGTGGCTCATGCCTGTAATCCTACTTAGAAGGCTGAGATCTAAGGATCACTGTTCAAAGCCAGCCCAGGCAGGAAAGTCTTGAGACTCTTATATCCAATTAACTACCAGATAACCAGAAGTGGAGCTTGGGATCAAAGTGGTAGAACACTAGCCTTGAGCAAAAGAGCTCAGGGATAGCGCCCAAGTCAGGAGTTCAAGTCCTCCCAAAAAAAGATAATAATTTTTTGTCCTGATTCCTACAGATGTGAGTTGTATATAATGCACACCCATATATATGCTTGGGGGGAGGACTGATGCAAGGGCTTGGATTTAGTAGTTCACACACTCACTTAGATTGCTTGCTTACAGCTTGCACTCTACCACTTGAGAGAGGTATCTACCCTGGCTTTTTGCTAGTTAATTGGATATGGAGCGGGCTGGGAAGTTGGCTCAGTGGTAGAGCGCTTGTCTTGCATGCCTGAGGCCCTGGGTTCGATTCCT